ACAATGGGAATTCTACATAATTTGGCTACTAAAAAGGTCAGCTTAAAGCAGCACCTGTATATAGCTATATAAACCTATATTAGATAAAGTAGGATTAAGCAACAAAAATCTAAAACTAGATTTCAACAAATTTAAAAGTGATAATTTTAAATTAAAAAATGAAGCTGAAAGTAAGAAGGAGTTATTTTATAGAAATGCTTTAATATTCTTATTAAAATATTACAGCAACAGATAAGGAATAACCACTTACTTTAAACCAGATTGAAAAAAATATAAATGAGTTGAAAAGAAAACTCGGAAAGAATAAGTTCACACTTTACAAGCATTTATATTCTGACATGAGTAAGATTCCTATTTACACATACATGAAGATCCTAATTCTTTAAGATACATCTAAATTGAAGTATTTTGAAATATAATAATATATTATTAATAAAATGAATATTAAAAACACTACAACAAAATGTTGCAAAAAAACGCCTATACTTTAATTAATTGAAAATCAAAATTGAATCAAAGGAATTGTAATTCTTTCACTCGGATACTCAATATTATACTCAATATACTCAAACTAAATATACTGAATATACTAAATATATAATACAAAAATTTGATATGAAAAAAAGATTATTAAACAAAAAAAAAAACTAACAAAAGACAGTACAATCTTATAAGGGTAATTATAATATAACATCAATTTCCCAAATAACTTTATTTGCTGATTTTGATTCACTGTTACATTACTTTCAAAGTTGTAACTTATTCATATATTATAGAAATATTTTGGTGGTTAATATAAGCCTTATATTTCATGCTCAAGCACCTAGATCACACAGGCATATGAAAAAAAGCTCAACTGTTTATTCTGATCCAGAATAACCAGTTTATTTTATATATTTGTTATGTATTTATTCTCACTTACTGTATTTGTATTAAATTAGTAAATTATATATTAATTATAGACTGGGGATTGCATCATTTTTTTCTTAATACTTCATAACAAATATGCTTCACTTTGAATATAACAATATAATTTCTGTCATATGCATTTTCATTTAGTACTACATCATGATTTAAACTTCATTGTATATAATAATTCAAGAACAAATGAAAACACATATTAAAGAAAAATTGGATGCTGATGAATAATGTGTTAGTATTCTCCAGAAATCTGAAGTAAAGGGTTTGATGTTTGACAAGTTGTGGGATAAAAAAATTAAGACTGCTATGAATAATGTTTCAATTTGTATCATATGATTGTATTAGTTAACAAAGATGTACTAATTTAGTAAACCAATTAGCTGCTTGGTGCAATCCATTCAAAAAGAGGTTACTATGTTAGACGTGTTAAGAATGGTCTATAGTCCACATTTGGTATAAACTGAATCAAACTATTTAGAAATTACTTCATGAAACACCAGATGAAAGAATGGAAACAGCATAATTAAAAAACTATAAATATCAGCAGCCTTTATGTAAGGATTACCATGTAATATTTCTGGAGTTAATGTAAGGAAGAACACATTTTTTATATTAGGATGATATTTTTTTAAAAAAAAGAAAAAAAATGATTTTTAAAAAAAACAATCTCACATTGTTATTACTTATATTCTTTGATTTTATTATTCCATTGTTATGGTTTAAACTTAAGGCATCAATTAAGTACTATGCAAATGTAATGGGAAGAAATGTAAGAAACAAAGATCAGAAGCCCAAGAGAAAGGTGGCAATCATTGTTACACTTGTCAAAAACCAGTCATCTTTTATGATGCTTATGCCAACTATAATATTGGAAAAATGAGATGTGACAAATGTCACGAAGGAAATAATAACAATAAAAGACTACCTACTCCAAGTATATAACTATGACAGATTAGTACTTTCAAATTTTAAATATATTTATTCTTTGGTAGTCCTTTAAAACTCTTAACTATCTAAATCAGATATAATTTATATAGAAATATAATAAGCTCAACAAAAATATAAAAATGAATACTTTTGTTATTGTTCAAAAATAAAAATCTTACATTAAGGTTTTAATTTAATAATAAGAGAGATGAAATTATATTAGTTATATTAAAGAGCTTTATAATGAAAAATCAGTTTCAGGAATCATCAAATACTGTTTCAAACAGATTCCAATGGTAACCCAAGAGCAATAATGATACCAATATCAAATATGACTACATCAGCAATACCAACTGCACCAGACATGTTGTATATGCTTCATATATTCTAAAGAAGGGGAAAATGAAGAGAAAACTAAATAAAGGGAGATGAAGAAACAAAGGGGAAAAGAAGAGAAAAAAAAAGAAAGTAGTAACTGAAGAAATTCATATGTCAATACCTGGAAGCTGGATGAACATTCTAGAGCCAACTCACAACTCCAAAAAATGTCCAACAGCAGTGAATGTGTCATGGAAGACTGATTACAAAAGAATAATAGCCTCTTTCAGAATATCAGTTATTATCTTCAGAACTACAAGATAGAGCTTTTCTGGTCAAGATTTGACAGAAAAATAACTTGTATCTTTTTCTGAGAAATCTGAATGGAACAATAATTCAAAGTCAAGAAGAGCCAATATATTATAAGGGTAGTTTAAACCATAGAATACCCAAAATTTACTTTTGCAAAAAAGTTTATATGTATTTTAATAAATCAAGTAATGTTAATAAAATCACAGCTTATTTTAACCTAAATGGATCTATAATGAAAGTTAATAGAACATTTTCACACTAAAAAAATGTTCAAAAGTTATTTGAAAGTAATTCTAAACAATCTCACAAGTTGTTGGACTTTAATAAGAGAAGATTATATTAAAAAAACTTACTCTTAAATACCTATATGCAATTATGCTTTATAAATCATAATGCATGCTAATAACTAACGTACTTACAAAATAAAAATGAGAAACTTGCAAGTTCTCCTGATGCTTGATGCTTAATTCAGACAATTGAGAGTATTTACTGAGATTTCATGAATTCATGATTAGTTTCTCATTTGGATAAACAGAATCATGATTGGAAAAAGCTAAATCATATATGTAAAGATGGAATCAATGATAATATTAATAATAAGGAAAATAAGGACAAAAAAAAATTACAGCAAATAATTAAAATAATAATTAAAGGAAAGTTTCTATGATTCAAATTCCTTATAAAATGAATTCATTAGGGAAGATAATAACTTTAATTCTGATTTAGTAGTTTATAGTTAGTTAGTATAATAAAGTATAACAGAGAATTGATGGGCACATCTTCACAACATACTTTCTAATACTGATAATAGTGACACATTATCAACATACATAAAGACCATTTCACTGCATCTTGTTCACATATTTCAGTATGCTAAAAAATACCATAACATCAAATACCCTATCACATTTAACACTCATCCTTGCCACATAATGAAATAATAAAATTTGCTACTTTTTGATATCTAAGCCTAAAGGACTGGACCCTAATCTCATACAAAATCAATAAAGACTTAAACAAGAAACCCATTTAAAAATTAGCCAATCTTCAAACTGGTACTATAATTTCTCTCTCTCTCTCTCTCTCAAGAGAATATGTTAAATACATTAGTATATAAAGAATGTATTATACCAAACTGCTAAAGATTTCACCTCTGAAGGTTTTTTGCAAATTAGCAGATTATTTTTGGAAATTATCATGATTCAAGCTCACAGTTACTTATGAAAAATGAAAGTTAAAATTTTGAAAATTTAATTGTTCAGTATGGTTACAATATCGGATATTGAGTTATTTTCACTTTTATAACCATCTTTCATTAATATTCAAGATATTATTAAAAATAAATAGTGAATTTATTGTTTACTTCACATTATAGTCTGGTAATTGTTTATACAACTGACCAACCATTCTTTGTTTTTAAAAATTTTTAAAAAGCAAAACATCTCTATTAAAGATTGACTATAACAATTGGAATAAGTTTTATAACTGTTTTTATTTTACAAATTATTTTTGTAACAGATCATAATAACTGGGTTATAAACTTTTAATCCTGTTGAACAAAAAAATTTTAATTTTATACCATGTTATCATGCAGATAAGCTATTAATGTTGTGCAAAGGATAAATATTAAATCAGAAATTACAGAAATTATTAAATTTGCATCAAAAGCTGGCATAGGTCTTTGTATATGCTATACCTTTAGACCATGGGAAGATATTAATAGAATTATGGAGGCCTACCATGGTAAAATATATGAAGAGATACAAAAAGCACAAAAATCTATTCCCAACCTTTTTAATAGAAAATGAAATATGGATCAAAAATTGAATAATGTTAAATTAGTTGAATATTCTTTATATATTTGGAAATCACAATCATTATATTTAATCTGATTTACAAATATATGAAGAATATTTTCTCTTAAAAAATTTCTTTGTTTACAACAAATTTCGTCCCTTAAATTTATATTGGTTTAACTGGACTTTATAAAGGAGTAAAATGGTGGTCAAAAGAATCCAGGATATAAAGAATTAGATGCTTTAGAAAAAGTATTGAAAAATGAACCAGATGAAGAATTATTGAAAAGAAACTATTTTATCAATAAAAAATTAATAAAAACCGTAGGGCAAATACTCAAAGATGGTGACATGAACTTCAAGAACAAATCATTCACTCATAGTAATTGTAAAAGAATTTCAGAGTAAGCAATAATTAATGATAATAAATTGTACATTAATATAAAGTCATTATTATCATTATTAAAAATTGGAAAAATTTTTCAAAAGTGTTTAGTAAATTAGTAAATTCAAATAAATTTATTCTTTTATAGATCTTTAATTTATTTTCTGACAATAAAACAATATTTGTAACTACTGTATATTTATTAATTTTAATTAAGATCTTAATCATATTTAGCTTAACAAATTACATAAAATATTAAAATCTTATATATATTTATATATATTTATATATATATATATTCGAATTAAATAATTCTAAATTTCACTCATTGTATTGTTTAATTAATGTGATTGTTGTGATCCTTCATTCGATTCAAGTCTATAATTTGAAGTATTATCATCGGATAATCCTTCATTATATAAATATTGAATTACGTTTCCTATTCCTCCAAAGCTTATAACTATGTAATAGAAAAAAATTTTTTGAAAATTAATTAGAATTAATACTTTCAATATATTTACATATTTTTGTATATTTTATTTTTATTCAAATTACCTGCCGGAATGATAGCATCAAACACAATATGGCGAACCTATTAATTGAAAATCATTATATTACAATTATAATTAAATCAAAAAAACGTAATTTATTTATTTATTTATTTTTTTACCTTTAAAAATATGCAAATGTCATAAATAATAATAGGAATATATTGTAAAATAAAGACTAAGATATAAGTTAAAACTTTTTTAAAAGTTCTTCTTTCAATATCGGTTAGTTTATTAAATGAGTCTGCAATGGATGAATTGTCGTCTTTAACATTGCGAATTACTTTCATTACATGTGCGTAACAAAACATGGTAGTTGTCAATGTGGTGAATATAAGGACAATAACCAACATTGCTACATTATTGTATCCGACTTTAGTACCGCACCTAAAAAGAATTACAGTGTGAATATCTTTCACGTGATATTTTATAATATATGACGTAACTATTTAACGTACGAATAATTTCGAGATCCGTAGGCGTTTATTGAACTTAGGGGGATTATTAATGATATGAAAATAATTGGAAGCCAAATTTTATAATCATATTTTCCCAAAGCCAAATGGCGCTCTTGTACTACACGTAACCAAGTTACAATAGATATAGCTGCAACCTATTAATATAAATTCCGGTGATTAAGTTGATTAAGTTTCATGTATAAGAAACAGATGCTACCAGATTTATTTTATTAAAACAAAAAATTACCAATAATATATTTAGCAAAATGAAGATTGTGAAAAATATTCCAAGGATTTCACAAAATAGAAATGGCCATGAGATGGTTTCGTTCTTATTTATGAATTCTGTTCTCTTTGAAGCTGCATATGACTATATAAATTGTCGATATAATTTAGTTTAAAATTGTAGTTAATTTGATACAAATTTTAAAATTTTATCAATTTACTTACGAACTCTATTAAGATGGATGACGAATATAGAAAATCTTAAATATAAGGATAATAATTATTATAAATACCGTAAAGATTGTTATTAGAATAATTGATATCATGAATAAATTTTATTTAGTACCTGTAATTGCTATATAAAATGGAAATCTAAATGATAATGAAACATTACTATGACCATATTTCCATCGTGAAAATGTTCCTAAAGAACCAAATACATTTAAAAAATTTTAAATCAAAAATAAAATTTTTTAGTTCAATCAAATTACTTACGATAAAATATATATAAAGTTCCTAGAAAACTAAAGGAATTAAAAACTAATGGAATAATCATTACAATGTAAAAATCAGTTTTAGCACCATAACCATAAGACGAATGTCCTTGAGCATTACTTATAGGTATCATAAAAAAAAGAAACGATAAAATAAAAATAACGATATAGGTCGAATATGATCGTAAATTCATTTTTGTTTTTTAAAAAATATGTATATATCAAATAATATTTAAAATTAAAGGGAATGTGAAATATAATTATATGAGATGATGATAATTATTGATTGGCTTTTATATATTGTTTATATCCAAAAAAAACTGAGAATTATTGTTCGCTGTGTTACATTTAAAAGTAGCTTACATTTTCTAGTATCATTGTGCATAATTATTTTGATGGTAAGTGCGGCACTTAAAGTTGTGATACAATTTAATATAAGTAAAATTTTTTTTAATTGGTTAATTTGTTAAATTAAATTACAGTTACATAAGATTCACTTGATCACCGTAAAGTTTGTTTATTTGTTGAAAAACTTAAAAATATTATAATAATAAATTTATAATATTACAAAAGTAATATTACGAACAAAGGAGGAAGTAAAAACGATTATAATAATTTTATTAAATTAAAAATTTAACTTGTCGAAATGTTAGACTTGGAATTTTTTACAGAATTTGTCGCTACTGCGCCACCTGATACTAAAAAAGATAATGCAACGTATCACAAAATTATTTATTGAATAACCTAATGAATTACATATACAAAATATTTACATAACATAATTTTTAAGTAATTTGCTACAAAAAAAAAAAATATTTGCGACCATTCAAATGATAACATTATATAAAAAATTCAGCTTAAGTAAAAAAGTACTTAACCATAACCTCATAAATTATTCTAATAATAGAAGAGTTCACAGATACTCGTGTTAAATCTAAGTTTATTAATTAAATAATTATATTTATCTCAGGCTGGAGTAACAAGAAAACGCTACCAATTAACGGACGTTCGTCATTTTTGGTCACCAGGTCTAAAAAATTTATGTTAATGTTATTTTTCTAATGGTAATACTTATTAAGTAAGTCTAATTAATGCAAGTAATATAACCTTTCATTTACAGGAGTCATCTGCCCTAAACGAATATAACTTCAATACATATTGTATGCCAATTTTTTTTTGGCTCAATGACCAGAAAAGAAAATTGGGAGTCACTTTGAATGATTCTTTCTAACAGCCCTCATAATATACCGAATTCAACAAAATCCATAAAAAAGTATGTATTTTTCTAAAGATTCGCGTTAGAGTGAGCGTGAATACTTTATCAAATAACTTCCTATTCTTTTTTTTTTTCTTGTATGTCAATTTTTCAATTTATCTATTATTTGCGCTAAATTTACTTGATAGTGCAGCACGATAACATGGAAATATATGTGTGTATTCTAAATAAAATGAGTTCAAATTCTGGATAGTTATTAATATTCTTAAATGGATTAAACATCATATGTACAGTTTCACTTCTATAATTATACTGTACCACATTGTAAACAATGTTACATTTTAATCCCAACGATAATCAATTTTACCGACAGTGCCAATATAGTTTCAGTTTTTTCTATTTACAAAAAAATCAAGTGAAACTTTTTGCTTATCATAAATAAGTCAATAAAAAAATAGAATATAATACAAAACTTTCCTAAATTTAAAAAAAAAATTAAAAAATTTCGATATAGTTGATATTTCTTATTGAAATTTAATTTATTCAAACATTTCTTTTTTAGGGAGGCTTTCTAATAAAAAATATTAAAAAATAAATTGTGTACTCTTTTAATTTATTTACTTTTTGATTATATTAAACGGGTCTATACAAAAATAGATGATGGGATGAGTACCATTGAGTTCAAAATCATTGAATACAAGACGCGGACGAAATACCCCTTAAAGATCAAACTATATATTGTATAATCATATAAACTGGTCTAATAATTTCAATGCTTGCACCTCCCCTTTCTTCTCCATATTAGAGATTGAAACTGATTAACGTTAATCGACTAATTAACCGATTAAGACGGTTAACCGGTTAAAGTATCTCAAAAATAGATTAATCGTCCGTGAAATTTCGGTCACGTGTTCTTCAAACTAATGTTCTAACAAACGAATTTTTTATTAATGCTGTAATAATAAGAATAAAATACAACTAAATATATGAGTAAACCGATTTGTAGCCAAAAAAAAAAAAAAAAAAAAATTAATTAATCGATTATAAGCAGTCGGTTAATCCGTTTATAATTTTTATGGTCGGTTCCAACTTCTACCCTATAAAAAAATTTATCCGTTATTTCTGTAAAAACTCCGTAAAAATGAGCCTTTCACGGATCCATTCACGGAAAATGTAAATAATTCGATAAATTCCGCGATATAAGGTTATTAATTCCGGAAATATGAGCCTTTTACGGAAAAAAGATGAATGGATTGACTTTTTTTACAGAGCTAGTAGCTCATTTCTTTTTTCTCCCTGGCTCCTTCTTGACTCATTTTTTATTTTTATGTGCTGTAAATTTGGTACTGACGAATCACGATGAGCAAATAATCTACATTCTATATACAGTGTGGAATATATTATATTACATGATTAACATGATTTAAAAATTGGCTAATTTGGTACTACTTAAGTACATAATGTTTTGGTTACGTTCGACAACTTATAACCTTATTTCATAACCGCAATGATAATACCGTAACTAAAAATAAGCACCCCTGGCTAGAATTATGAAAAATTATGTTTGTTTGGAATTATGTGCAAAAAATGAGGAGCTTAATTTCGGGGGAATACGGTATTTATTATTATGAACCTTATTAAATTTGTGGAAAACGGTATACATAATGCACAGGAATTACATAATATTCGCTATAGAAAAATTGAAAAAACCATTAAAGCAATGTTCAGGAATGGTCGAATGGGCGACCTAAATAAATTACTGCAAGTGTTTCAGTGTATTTAGTTACGTAAGACATAATTCAATTGATTCATTCTCCTTCCATAAGAACTGAACTTTAGCAAGATAATTGGAAAATATAGGTATAAAAATATCTTCATAGAACCGTTGGAAGACACGTTATATTAGGGTGCGCGGTCAACTAAATTATATATGGTCCCATATAAAAAATTTACTATTAAAGAATTTTCAGGCAATAATACAACTTTCATGAAATTAGCGGTATTACCCGTTAATTTGTATTTAACTAACATTCAGAAAGTATAAAAATTAAATAAATACCCAAAAACTTGAAGAATAATGTGAGTCTTGCTTTTTGAAAAACACTAAAGAAAAAAATTTTTCCTTATGTAGATACGTCCGAAAGTATTATTTTATTTATTTTTGAGACACAGGCGATCTTTTTGGAAAAAAAACAGACTATCGCATAAAAGAGTCGACAATTTAGAATACTTTTGTAGAATTTTGAATGTAAATAATTAGAAGAATTTAATGTTATGGAAGTATGAAAACATATCAATTTAGTAAGAAATTTATTATAAAATGTAATTAATCAAGAAAAATCTTTAATAGTAAGTTTTTATTTGGGTCCATATATAGTTTTGATTTAATTAGTTGAGTCCGCGCACCCTAACGTTGCATGATATGTCACGCGATGTCGATCATACTTGAAGTTTAACCCTGTCGAGTATTGATAACTTATGGGCTATAACAAAAAATAAGATGAAATAGACGTTGTGGGAAAAAATGGCCGAATATCTTAAATCTAATGAGACATGCAATGGTTAATTATTGAAAATAATAGTGAACGTATATCTTACCCAACCATTGATTTTTTTTCTGTAGATCTTGGAATAAGCGGTTAAGGGCTTTTTGTACCGGTTCTAAGTTCGTCATCAGTAGCTCATCTTTGGCTATAAAAGTAGATGATTTTAATAAGCTATTTTGTAAAAAAAAAACGCAAAATAAATTTAAAATCATAAAATTAATTAAAAATTTATCGCGATATTTGAATATTTTTTGATTTTCGCTTTTTTGGTCCCACGCAATATTAGATCGATATGTTTTTTTATATCGTAATTTATCAGAAATTAAATGTTTTCTAGTTTCTACTGATTGATAGATTTGTACAATTTGGTAACTTGATGCTTTTAGCAAGAAACGGACAATTTGAGATTGTAACATTATACATACATGAAGATGATTGATCATTCAAGCATTGGATTCTTTAGAAGTATACGACCTAAAATGTTGTCGATACAGTAAGTAAAACCCAATCCAATATGTATCTGGAGGTTAAATATGATAAAATTACGGTAAATAAGGTACCAAAATATTAAAATGTAAAATATTTATGTTGATTAAATAATTTAAATTTTTAATTTACTCAAGCTGATATACAGTATGCTGAAATTTGCTTTATTTTAAAATTTTATTATATTGCGTTCAATGCGTTGCTATAAATTTATGTTTACTACAATATTGTTAAACTCAAATTAATTATGATATTACTATTAATGCGTATAACAAATAAAAAGAAAATAATAATGTTGTAGAAAAACAAATTTAAAATAACGAAACCGTATTAATATGTAACGATTTTTAAATTATTATTAAATGATTTGAAATTAATTACTATAAGTTTTGTCTATGCGATTTTGCAGATTGTAAATTTGTCACATGGTTAATTTTTTAATACTGTAATGCTGGCCGGAAGAATTTTTTATGGCGATTAAATCAAGGAAAATCACGTGATTTAAGAATAAGTCTCAATTGTTCTACATTCATAAAACCTCTTTTTCTAATAATGATAATAACCTACAGATCAATATGGCGTGCGGTCACATTTTTGAATATTTTTGGAATAAATAATATTTTTTATAGAGGTGAACGCTTGACCCGCTTGACCGAAGAATAAGTGTGATTGCGTTTCCTATCGGGCGAGTATTGGGTATTCGAATATACAATCACAAAAACTGCGTACACCATTTTGAAAAAATGGCGATAATATTAAGAATATTTAGTAGAAAAATTCATCGATTAATCACGAATAAATTTAAATTATTTTACTTCGTAATTTAAGCTTTAATTTAATACTTCAGTAGTTGTTTCATGCATTTGTTAGAGAAAATTCATTTTTATTAAACTTTTATGTTATTTATTAAAAATAATTGTAACTTTCTATTATAATTGTACATTTTTTCTAAAAAAAATTTAGCTTTTAAAATTTTTAAATTATATAATATTAATCTTCACTTAATTTAGACGATGTGTGAATGCTTTGCCATACTACTTGATTCTCTTATTACTAATTTTCTGTCGGATTTAGGAGATGGTTCGTATCGTACTATTTAAAGAGTTAATTAATTATTAGTATTGAGGAAAAAAAAATGAATAATTAGAATTAAGAATAAAAATTACATACTGTAGAATGCCATAAAGTTACCGAAATTTTTATGGCATCTAATAGTGTTCCATGTTGATAATGCCAAAACGATCCAACATAAACATGCTATTACATATATATATTTTAAAAAAAGAGAATCATTAGTATAATTTTTATAGGCTAATTTAAAAACAATATAAAATTATGCAAAATTATTATTACCGTATAATAAAAAATGTACACGTAAGCATGATACTATACTGAAAGCATTGTATCAATTTATTTTTTCGTTCACAGAGACTAACCATATCAAAATATAATAATAAGGCTTGAATAAAATTTCCTATATACACGATAAACATTATATAATGTTTTTCATCCCTCACCTAAATACGTTGATGTAAATTGTTTTAGTATATAATAACATTATATTAAAGAACAAAAAAATAATGTACTTACACCTTTGAGCATAAAAAATGAATAATAAAGGAATATTATGTTGAATGGCACTTGATAATTGATAAATAGGTTTCGAGAACTAATTCGTCTTTTTGTTAGTGCTATTCCTACTAAATAAGCAACTAACAATAATCCTATCATCATTATCTGGGCATGAAACAATGGAAATTGGACCTCATATATTGCATGCATTTCTAAGCCAAAAAATAAAAAAGAAAAATTTAGTAACTAAATAAATATATATACGCTAAAGGATTCGAATAAATGGATTGATTATTTACCTTTAATCTCATCATGCCTAGAATATTTGAATTCATATACCAGAGACCATATTCTAAGATAAAAAAAAAAATGAAATAAAATAAATTTAATTTAATATTTTTTTTTTTTTTTTTTTTTTTTTTTTTTTNTTCCATATTAAGTACACATCTAATGTATATAGTAATTGAAATAAAATTGAAATTGCAATTAAAAAAGATGAACCTATTATATAAAACTTAAGATTTGCAAAACATGACTTAGTATGGTCTCTACAATGAAAATATTGAGTATAAAAACTAGCTATCCCTCCAATAATAGGAAATATATGTACACCAAGGAATGCTAATCCATGATAAACAGTTTTACCATAGAACTACAAATAATAAAATAAATTAATAGCTAGTATTAATACATTAAACGATCATCTTCAGCATAAAACATTATATTACCATAATCATCCCTGATATTATAGGAAAAAATATTAATGGAATAAGTATAAAATACATGTCGAATTCTCCTGTTAAGATTAAAGTGCTAACGAACAGAAAACTATATATGAACATATCTATAATATATGTGTACAAGAAAACCTTTTCTATACGCTTTAACCCTTTATAAAATTTACGAAGTATTCTATAAAGAACAACTAGTGGATTCATTTTTAGGATAAGGTAAATCCAAGAGACCAGCTGATGGATAAAAGAAAAGGAAGATAACAAGGAAAATGAAAATTATTAAGATAACAAATAGATGAAATTTTAAAATAACGAGGAGATAAAATTATTAAGATAACGAAGATATTAAGATAACGAAAGGATGAAAATTATTATAGAAAAACTGAAAGGAGATATTTATGAAGTACGTCAATAATTATTGCGAGCGCTTATTTATATTTTTAAATACAAAAGATTATATTCCCTTGTTAAAAAAAAAAATATTTTTTTAAAAAAATAAATGAATAAAATCTTAAGTGATAACCTTTGTGAATTTTCGTGAATTTACTTGCTTTGGTTAAATATAGAAAATTGTATAATAAGAATTTTTTTGATAAATAAAATAAAAAAAAAAAATTTTTTTTTTAAGATTTGCTGATATTTCTTCTTGTTTTCTGACGAAAATTTGTTCTATATTAAATTCAATTTAAAAAAAAAAAAAAAAAAAAAAAAAAAAAAAAAAAAAATTTTTTTTTTACCCTAGAACGTCTGAAACGTGAACATAATAAAAAAAACATGTTTAAACCGGCATTTAGGGAGGACAATGTTTCAGTTCACAGCTAATCTTTAATAAGTCAAGATCATTGTGTTCCCGCAGGCCGCAGTAATAATCAGTAAATAATCAGTAATAATATAATAAAAATACAACCATACTTGAGATTAACTAGACAATGAACTCAAACATTGCATAGCATTTAATATGTTTAATCTTGGTAAATCTTTCTTTAAATCATATGGACACTTTATGAAAATGAAATTTGGCAAATTTTCCCTTTTATTAATTAATCATTAGTTATGAAGAAATTGTGCATCGTGATTGGATAATTTAATTTTTAATTCTATTAATAGTATTTTTGTATTTGACTAGGGATCCCGGATAATTAAAATAGTAATCCCCTGTCGCACTTGTCGCACTAAGTGTCACTCATCACCTTCATACTAATTTAAAAATTGCGAGTGATTAGCTGAGTTTATAAATGACCGGGAATCTTCGTTTACTTATTTCCCGGCCTCACATAGATAGCCGGGAAATTATTAAGTTTAGTTAAAATAGTTAAGTTTAAAATAGTTAATATTTAATGAGTGACACACTCCAGGGGATTACCCATTTATTTCATGGGAAGGGAACATTAGGGTTTTTTTTCTTTCGGGAAAAAACCCTATTATCCATAATACAAATTATAAGACAACTTGTCTTACAAAGAATCACTTTTTTACTTTGTAGAAACTATTGCGTCACAAAATAAAATTTTTTAATGCGACCATAAGGACCACTCACAATTAGTGGATTTATACAATCAAATTGATTGTGCCCTTAGAGAGCTTCAAGAACGTAAATCGGAATATGAACGTTTATTTTTTAAAATATTGTGCTTTTTTGCAACGCTTCTAGTTGTTAGTAATTGGTGTATTGACATTATGTTGTTAGTATATCACAGCATCGATAGAAGTACTTGTAAAAAAAAAATTTTTAAATAAAAATACGCTCAGCGCTTATTGCAAATACAACACTTACTCGGCAGAAAGTTTAAAAAAAATTAAATATTTTATTTAAATATTGTCAAAAATAAGATAAAATGGTTACACAATTTATTTCTGCGATTCTATATATATTATGCCAGAATATAACTAAAGAAATAAAGAGAATAATGAAATATAGAATGAAATCGAAAATTTTACTACCAATAAATCAAAATTTTATCGTTGAAATCCCGAAGGATTATTCAAAAAAGCAAGAACTTGCTGAATATCCATATTAGGAATAATGATAAAATTTGTCTGAGGAGAATTAATGGTAATGTTAAGAAATATACCAGATTGAGGTGAAGAGAATTGCGGTGATGAATCATTATTAGACGAAGATGGTTGATTATGATTATTGCGATTAGTATTGTTTGAATCGTGATTATTATTACCACTGGGTTGTTGATAATTGTGATATTGCTGCTGATGATTAGGTGAAGCAACATTGTGTCGCTGATATTGTTGATTATGATTAGGTGAATTAGCTGTGGGTTGCTGATCAGAAGAGGTAGTCACGTTATTGTCTGACGTGGGTTGCCGACCGGGAGAGATAGTGGCGTTATTGCTATAGTTAGAAATGGCGTTATTATGTTGTTGATAGTTAGTATCACATTCATCGCTATTAGGTGAAACGATATCGTGTTGCTGATATTGCTGATTATGATTGGGTGATGCAACATTAGGCTGATCGGGAATTGTGGTTTGTTGGTTATTATATTGTTGATAGTTAGCATCATTAGCATCATTAGCATCATGGTGATTAGGTGAAGAGGCATTGAGTTGTTGATCGAGAGAGATAGTGTTTGACATGAGTTGCTGATCAGAAATCATGTTATTAACATCATTGCAATATGTATCGTACGTCTGGGAAACGGTTGTTTGTGAATTTGATTCGTAGTAAACATTGACATCAAAATTATTTGAAGAATTATGAGTGACCATGGTTTTTCTTATATTTTATTAAATTGATGGAAAATGATGAATTTTTTTTTTCAAGATTAATTTTTTTTTTTTTTTTTTTTTTTTTTGAGAAAGGAGAATTTCAGAGGTTTTTATATTTTTTTCGAGGGAGGAGAATTTCAGAGGTTTTTATAAGAAAAAATTCTTGTAAATGCATCTATTCTTGTGTAGCATGAAAAGCTATTTTTGTTGTTAAATTCTTTAATACGATCAAAAAGAATGGTCCAATGGTGTTTTGCATACTATTATTTTTCTTGCGATTTGCGCGTTCATTTTTACTTTATTTTTATTTTAAGAAAGGTAGGAAATCTTTTGATACAATGCAAAATTACAGAGGTAATAATTACATACTAACTAGGTAACGAGAAAATGCACATCCCATACACGATCCACCATTCGAAAGAACCTGATGATAGTGACATAGTCGCAAGCATCAGTAATCGAACAGGGTTAAATATTAAAATAAAAATTAAAAGGGATAGAAGAATAATAAAAGAAAAAAGAAAATTAAAATCTACCAACTAAAGAAAAAAACCCCGTATCTTCCTTTGACCCGAGGGCCAACATACGTGAATACAGTTAGGTGCGTGATTGGGTATCAATGACGAAGGACCCGCCACAGGACCAATTTGGCGCGATCGTTTCTTCCGATAAGATTTGATTTGTTGATAGAACGTAATAACGGGAAATATTGCCAATTTTAGGTAATTTGGTGATTTCAAGATCAAATTTTTTAAGTACGCGTATAACCAATAAGCAAATAACCGGGAAAAGGAGGACGTCCGCTTGAAATTTGCCACCTAAACTATAAATATCAGATTTTTTATCTTTTTTTGTAATTGATAATCTTTAAAATTATATTCAGGCATTCCTAATCCATTGGCCGTTGAATTTGTTGAATTAGACGCTCTATTGATTTAGATCATTATCTTGATTTCAATAATTATTAAGTTGGCTTCGCTTAGCAACCTTTCCAGAATTAATTAACAAGAGAATCATTTTCCACCCTAAATCGCCTGTTATTTTCTTTATCAAGAAATATTTTCGTAAAATCATTCTAAAAACGATTGGAAGAAAATATTGATCGGAGGGGAAAAAGATTTCTTGATTTTAATAACCAAATTAGTTGCTTTTTAGTGTTGGTCGCCGTTATAATTGTAATTTCTGCAGCACGAGCATTTGAAGGTAAATGGGCAAGCAAATAAACATTTTCGCCTGATCGAATTGCAAGGAAAGCGTCCCACAAGAAGTCTCCTATTTCAATAGATGGGTAAGACCAATCGGATGCGGGGGTTGGCGGGAATAAAATGAGAAGTGCTCCTTGCATGACCAAGTCATAAATCTCATAATACCCAATTTGTTTCCATAAGTTCATTAAGTCCGGATGAATAAGAATTCCTTTCGCAATTACGTTAAGCTGTCTATTATTTTCGAATCCATCTTTGGAAGGATATTCCTCAGGAATTGGTTGTTGATGAATATGTGAATCACTATTTAAATCTAATTGATACGCTTTTGGTCTAGGAGGAAATGGAACGAACCATTTATTTAAAATCAAATCTTCTTTATCTTTCAAATTCTTTCTCAACATGCTGGGAGCGTAATTTATCACGTGAGGGCCTGCGGAGAGGAAATGGAATACTTGACGGTAAGGTTTCATCATATTAGCTAATTGTTTGTATCCTTCATCTAATAGATAAGTGAACACGATTATGGGTAAATTGCTCGCCCATGGAGATTTGATTTTTTGTTGGAAAGCGCGAATTCTATCCGCATCAAGTTGACCGACATTATGCTCTATTTTGAGCTCTATCAACTTTTGATCATATTTTCCGAAATGCATAAGTAATATTTTAATAAAATATCTTGATATTGGAACTTTTCTCGTAATTAATGTTTTACATACTGGGATATCTAAAAAAGTAGGGCCCAATCGCACAGCGTGGAATAATGCATGAGATTTTCCATGACGCACTAGCAACCATTCTGTTTTGACGTAAGCATCTTTCGAAATGACAGACCAGTTTCGACATGTCAATGCCAAATTAAGTGGGTAGTCGATGTATATATATATTTATCTTAATTTCTTATTCGAAATTCTGAAAATATTGTTGCATTTTAATAAATTAAGTAATGGTTGCAGCACAAAATTTAAAATCTTAATTTTCGATAAAACCGATTCAGATAAAAACATAAATATGAAAAATTTTTTGGTCAATAAAATAAGTATTTTTGTTCATGAACTACTCCTTTTTATAAAAAAATCGGATCCGAGTCAACCGAATAACCCAGTGATTTCAGGATAAAATTTTATCTAGCCTATTTTAGGATACATGAAAGCGAAAAGGAAATTATTAGTTGAAGATCATTTTCTCAGAGTCAGTGTATACATTTATAAATAAACAAGTCTCGTTCTAAAAAAGGAAGGAAATGAATGAATGATAATTAAATTTGTATTGAATATTCACGGATGTAATATAAATGAATACTCCGGAAAAAAATTACCTAACGAATTATAACAACGAATAGTAGAAAAGTAAATGGAAAATAATTTTGGAAATTAAATAAACGTAAAAATGGATTTATAACATTTATTATATGATTGTGTCTTTGTCTCTCGAAAAAATATTATTTTACATATCATCCAAAAATTTTTAATAGTTTTAATACAAGTTACAATAATAAAAAAATTGGCGGTCAAAATATGTATGTGCGTGGAAAAATAAAATAATCTTACTACTAAAATTAGAAATTTTTTTTTATTATTATTATGTAAATTTAATTTTGAAAAACAAAATCAGTATATTTTTTATAGTTTTAAATGGGAAATGGTGAATTTTTAGTCAAGTAACCAATTTGTACAATCAAAAGGGTTACCACCCTAATAATTTTTATTCTCTCTCATGATGGAAACAAATCTCTGAGCGAGAATAGAATTGTATAAAATAGTAATAATACTAAAAAATATTCGAATATTCGAATACTTTTTGTCGATCTAAAAAAACACCAGTTTTTTACTGCGGTATAATTATTATTATTTTTTTTTACTGCGGTGTAACTATTATTTTTTTTTTGACTGGTTTGCAAATGTATCGTTCTTATACGATCAGGTGCTATGTTCTTATACGACGTATATGTCATATAATATAGGTCGTATAAGATAGTATGTCGTACACGTACAAGAAAGATACATTTGCGACTGGTTTAAGAAAAAAAATAATTACAAAAATACATTTAAGGGAAATCAATAAAAAGTTTAACATATAAATTTGTAATAACAATAATTATTTGATCTCTATATTGTTATCGCTTGGTTATTTTGTCTTCAAAGTGGACAAAAAATTAAACATTAAGTTCACAAAACGATATTTCAAGTTTCCTCAAAATACAACAAATACCTATATAAATCAAACTGTGCAATATACCCCTGCATAATCGTTGTACCAAACGTTACAACCTTGTTAAAAAACTTGAAATTTGATATTTGTGATACCATGCCATGTAATAATTATTAATTGTGTAATTTCTTCAGCCCTTTCATAACTGATAATAAAAAAAAAAAATTCCCAAAGTCAAGTCACCAATCATTTTCGTTGGATATACCAGTATTACTATATGGTTCTTTAAGCCGGTACAAAACAATGGGCTGTTGATAGTTAACGATAATATTAATTTTGTTAATTAAACACTTCCAGAAAAGTTAAGCATCTTATGCATGAACCATATTTTTATTTAAACTTATGATGATGATGGTAATTTCGAGTTCATAATTCAAATGATAAACTTACGACAGGAGTTCTAAAACAAACTGTAGTACAATATGACTAACTCAGTAAATTCACTCAATGAATTAAAACAAAACTTTTACGCCAAAAGTGTCTTTTGTACGATATAAAAAATGCTTTCATTATAAAAAAAATTTTAATATATAAATAATGCGCGTTCCGTTATTTCGGAGATAAGTTTTTTTTTATATTGTATATTTTAAATGATTTACTAAAAAAATTTTTTATATGTATATTTTTTTTTAAATGGTTCTAAAAAAGGAAAGACGGTAAATCTATTAATAAAACTTTCATCAATGGCATTATTTGCATTATAAAAAAAATTTTTATCTCGTAAATCTTTCCCAAATTTTTTGTAGTTATAATAGATTTTACAATCGGATCCATAAATTTTATATCTGAAGAACTTTTAATTACACGGTCCTATCCGATTTCTAGATTTATTATATGATTTTGTAAATTGTAATTATGCAAGCACAATTTTTAGGGTTATCTTGCAGTTTAATTTATTTTGGTATTATTGAAACCTTTATTAAATTATTAAAGATCACAATAGAATTTTGCCGCAGATACGCCGTATGATCAGTGGCACAATGATCAGCTGAAAAACATGGAGTCGATGTTCTAAAATCTAAAGTATAATAAACGAATTATTATTAAGGTTGGTACAATCTGCATGTATGTAACGTAAATTTCCTTTCGATCATTGTAAGTTCTTTAGTTTATCTGAAGATAAAACAATGATTTAATAACTTCATGTATAATGAATTAGCGAAATTTTGAGAATTAATTATTGAATGATGGAACAGCTCACGTTGGATATTGTGCGCAGTGATCTGTGATCGACATTCCTTCTCCCTTCATTGTTTTATATCTTTTTTTAAAAAAAAATTTTTTTTCTGTTAAAAAAACTTTATTTATAATTTGCTTTTAAAAAAAATTATTATTCTTTACGGTTTTTTTAACCGTCATATTTTTTAATTTTTTTTATAAAAAGATAAATTCGTTTTTCTTCCCTCATCATTTCCCTTCTTCTCTTGTATTTTATTTTTTATTTAAAAAGAGTTGAAGAAAACCCACAAAAAAAATCAAATTCTATAACGATAATGAAATAACATTTCAATTTTTTTCTTTTTTAAGGTGGCTCCAAGCGACATTTTGTAAGTTTTTAGAAAAAAATTTTTTTCTTTTTTAAATTTATTTTAATGAACGGTCACTAACAGTTCTTTTTTTTCAGGTAGTTTTTCGGTCTCTTTGGATGCGTAGGATTCATTTTTGGTAAGTTTTTTTTTTCTGTTTTAGTTTATTTATTCTAACGAAACATATGTCAACATTTCAAATTTTTTTTTTTTTTTTTTAGACGGAATGGACACATGGGAAAGAAAATCGGGGTTATATGTTTTTCGAATTTAATTCTTTTGTTTTAGGTGACTTTTCTAGACGGAGGGATGAGATTTCTATGGGAGGTTTTTTTTTAAATGATTTTTTTTTGCGAAACGTTTTACTAACGTTTCATTTTTTACTTTTTAGATATCCGTCGATGAGGTAACTTTCTAAGCTTAGGGATTTTGTAGGGTGTCGTGAGAGTTGAATTAAACCAAGTCGGATTAAAGATGAGTACCAAAGAAGCGAAAATCTTAGATAAATGTGAGTTTCAAAATAATTTCGAAACTAAATTCAAAAAGATATATCTTAATAACATTTTTGTTCATCTCTTTCATAAGATACTAGCCCCACCCTTGTTACCGGAACCCCGGAGGTGTGTTTCAGAATATTTTCAAAGATTTTCTTTTTAAAAAACATTTAAAAACATTTTAATACGTAATAACCTTTATTTTTTTATTTATTTTATTTTTTTTTTTTTTAGAGGAATGGCTTCCAATATAGGAATACTAGAATTCTAGTAAGTTTCGAAAATTTTGAAAAAAAATGTTAGAGTTAAGAGGACATTTAACATTATAGGAAAATTTATATATGTCTATCATGTTTATTGAACAATTAGTTTTATTTATAGACTATTTTTGCACAAGCCGGTTAAATCAGGTGACGATTTCCTTAATATGCATCAACTTTATACATACGATCCGCGTCACGATATGGTATTAAATCTTTACGATAAGTTCTATGATATAGTTTTGATATAGTTACGATATATATTGTTTCAATTTTAAAAGTTTCTGCAAAGTACTCCCAAGGCACGAACTTTAGTTCCATTGGCGGTAATAATAACCATATTTGATGGTTGATTAGAATGTGTTACTAACATATAAAAATGATTTTAAAAATCATACCCACGTACGGATCGAAGTGAGTTTATCACATATATACAAGGTAATATTAATATATCCAAATTTAGTTACCCAAACAGTGATCACTCAAAGATGTCGTCATTATGACCATTTAAGATATTATCTAGATAAATGAGGTCTGTTTTTATAATAATCTTTAATTAAAATTACTATGATGGTACTAGTCTAAAATTCTCACCTGGACTAACTGATTTTGAAATGTAAATAAGCAATCCAGACTTTACCCGCCTTAATATTTTTATATCTATTTTATGTCAACTTTAAAATATTTATGCTAGGAATTTTTAAATACAAGAAAAAAGTGCCTTTACTTCTAGTACTAACCCTACTAAATTAAAAACGACAATAAATTATCTAAATCATCTAATAGTAATGCCTTTGCTTCCAAAGATGCAATAATAGATTGGGATGATTGATCTGATGAACTTAATAGAGAAATTAGCGAGAAAATTATTTCCGAAGGAATTGTCAGGGAAGCCATTTCGGTAAGTAGATAATGAAATAGTATAAATGATGTAATAAAAAAAATTAATAGGTGCTGAATCATCTGCCACTATTGCTGTTATTATAATAATGGTTCTGCGAACAATATAGAAATAATGCCCTGTAAAAAAAGTCGATCCGTTTTTTATATTCCATTTTTTTTTTCCGTAAAAGGCTCATATTTCCAGAATTAATAACCTTATATCACGGAATTTGTCGATTTATTTACATCTTCCGTGAATGGATCCGTGAAAGGCTCATTTTTACGGAGTTTTTACAGAAATAACTGATAAAATTTTATATAGGGATGCCGTGGAGGATGTAGAAATAATGCAAATAATAAATATAAAATAATGTTATGAATGATATTCAAGAGAAGAAATAAAAGCGAACCAATAAAAACCTGAAAGTCGATAATTAAATAACTGATATCGAAGGTCCGTCGGTCAATAATTCCTTTTCTCAAAAATAAAAATCCGTTTCAACTCCTGAACGCAAAATAAATCATTGGTGATTTAAATAGAATAATACGCGACAAGAAAAAATTTTTTTATATATACATGTAATACAAAAATTTAAAATACAAGTTTTAAGTTTATTTTTCAGTTGTTTTTTTTTTTTTTTTTTTACAAGAAAAAAATTGGTTTTCTAATTTGGGTATATTTGTTTTTACTTTACTTTCATAAATTTTCTATTTTCGTATTTTAAAGGACCCTGAAATGAACCAATTATATCAAGGGAGAAATGTATTATTTAAATAATTCATGAATTTCACGTGATAACTGTAGCCATAAAAAGATAACGTTTTCCATTATTTTATATGATATATCCCTTTATATGTTCTTTTAGTCTCCTGCTTCTTTAAATTGCTTTCTAATTTATTCGGTCTTCCAAAAAAAGATCGAAAACGTGTATGCATAACATACAAGAGACAATCATCTGCATTCCAACAATACTACTTTATAATTATTATGGATTGTAGTAATTTAGTTGATTGATATATTATGGAATTTTACAATGAAATGTTGCAGATATCTCAAGTAAATACTTATCATTTCAATATTGTACGCAAATAAACAATTGGTTTAACTATTGATGAAATTATCGGTCAAACTAATGATCCTATATGGTCGTGCGATAATTATAATTACGCAGATAAAATATTGATATTCAATATTTACGACAATTTAACTATTGGTCAAACGAAACCAGCATGGTCCCCTAAGATATTCGAAAAAGAGCTGACTAAAATGGGTAAGCTCAGATATCGATTCGGCGCAGATAGAGCGAAGTAAAAAAAAAAATCGTACAAGAAGCATGAGTAACTATGGAAATCCCTAGGTACAACTTACGGGTATGTGCGATAATAAAATGACAAATCATACAATCAATTTACTTTAGCGAGGATAATATAAGCGTGATCTACCAACTAAATATAAATTATATTCGGTATTTCTTATTCACCATTAAATTAAAGTAATTGGTCAATTTAAAGAACATTTTTTATTCAAAATATTATTGACGCCGAATCCAAAAATTTAAATAACAATACACGATTGTCATATTATAAAAAAGAAGTATAACGGAAAAAAATGATGAATTTTGACCTATTCTTTATAGATCAAATAGAAATTAAATGAAAGATTGAATAATAAATTTTAGTCGACTCAAAGTTATTTGACTCGAATACTCGATAGTCAGTAATCAAGGTAAATATAAATTTGGCTAATATTTTAATTATTTAGTTTAATGAGGGAACTATTATATTACAAGATCTAAGTACATAAATGAAAGGTTTTTCAGTATTTAACGCTTAATCTATGGAAATTAGCAAACAAACCATTGGATTTCGTGTGAGTATTTTATAAAATTGTTCAAAATTATTTTTATCCAGTGGAACGAATTTTTTCTGGTAGAACTGACTTGTCTTAAAGCACGTGCATGTATGTGGTGGATGTGGATGTGGTGGATGTGAAAACTCCTCGTATAAAATTTAATGATCTGCAAATCCAACCCTTTATTTAATAGCTATTGGGATAAATAGTACAAATTGGTAAGTATTCCTCGAACTATTCGAACGACTATCGTACCATCATCATAACAATATATATATTCTTCAAAAAATATTTGATTTTAAACAATCAATCAACATATCGAAATATCGAAATACCAATTATAAAATTCGGCTCGATCGGACTCCGGTGTACCCAATAAATTTAAGTCGATGATCTTAACTAAATCTCATTGTTTAAAATTATTTTGTTTTATTCCTTTTTACTTTCAATATTTCCATTATGAGAGTTATTGATAATACGGTATTTAAAGGAGGAATTTTTTTATTCTATAAATTAATCCATTATTGGCGTTATATTGAAAATTGACCCTACCAGAAATTAACCATAATGATCGTAAGTCCGTAGGTGAGAACAGCTTTATAAAAATTTACCTTTTAATGAAATTTAAGGAATAATAATATAAATTTTTGAATAATCTTACTTAATAGTCAAGTAACCCCTCCAATTAGTTTGAATTAGTTTGTCAAATGTTTAATACACAAAAAAAAAAAAATTATAATATGAGAAGAGAAGACCAAAGGAAGAAAATTTTTTTGTTAAAAGAAAGAAAACTTCTCTTGCATCGCTTATATGAATTTTTATGCATTTTAGTCTAATGACAAAAAATTCAAAAAAAAAAAAAATGTTAAAGTTGTTCCTGTGGAAAATATAGAAATTATTTCAAAATTTTAACTAAGATTCTATTTAAATTCATAAAATTTATTGAAAAATTCTATTATTAGAAATTATACGACGATTTGATTTGAATTAAATAACAATGATGTTATTCATATACTTTCTGAAGTGGAGATATATTTCTATCACGAGGTTTCGCTGAGTAAAATTTTCCCGAGTTAATTGTGAAATGTGATGATGTGATAAAGCAAATCTATCACAATTCACAATTTTTGTTTATAAATTTAAATAAAAATGGTATTTAATTTTTTACAAAAATTTTTTTTTTCAAAAAAAAAATTTTTATTGCATAATAATTCCAAAGCTTCTCTTTAAATAATAAAAAGGCGACATATCTTTTCCAAGTCTGTACCGCAGCCAAAAAAATATTAATAAAAAAAGTGATATCATCTCTTACCAATAGGCATCAGGTAAGCATTCAAATATGCGGGTTTCAGTAAAGTTGTAAAAATTGACAATTCTGTATTTTTTTTAGACAATATTTTATTTCATAATATTTTGTATTTTTTTTGAAAAATGTTACATAGTATAAAAACTATGCAACCGCTCTACGATAACGTGATTTCTGATCAGCCACTCATGTCAAACACTAACTATCAACAACATAACTATAGCAACTATAGCAATAACGTCACTACCTCATCTGATCAGCAACTCAATATTTCTTCACCTAATAATGGGATTTTTGATCAACAATCCATGTCGGACAACAACGTCACCGTTTCTGATCAACAATATCAGCCTCTCAATATCGCTTCACCTAATCATAATCATCAGCAACAATATCAATATATTCATCAACCCGGCATTCCTAACAACACTACTATTACTCCTGATAACAATTATCAACAACCCATGTCCAACAATAACGTTACTATTTCTGCTGATAATAATCATCACGCTTCAAACAATATTCCTCATAATAACAATCAGCAGCAATCCAACGTTTCACCTCCGCAACAAAATCAACCTAGTGATTCATCTCAATCCAATATCCTTCCTCTGCTTAATTCGTTTGGTATTAATATTAGTTCTCCTCAGGCGACTATTATTATTATGCCTACGACTAATTCGGATATTCAAAATCAGCTTCAGCAAGTTCTTGCTTATTTGAATCGTTCTCAACAATAAATTCGTAATATTCAATGAATAGGATTTTTCATGTTACATAATATCATTCTTTATCCTTTATTTATTTCTTCGTACAGTATTTCTAACATAATGGTTAGTAAAGTTATTCGCTGTAGAAATATATAGTATAACAAAACCATTGTATCTTTAACATTATTTAATAAATATTATTATCTTATATATCCTTTAACGAGAACTATACATTTTTTGATTACAAGAATTTATATTGCAGTACGTGAATTTGAGATCTCTGGTTAAATAACGTTTTTTTTATTGAATGATAGCGATAGTATATGCAATGATACAGTGAATGAACATAATGCAAACACACCATATTTCATTCATAAATTATCTAATTGCGAAAAAAAAATAATTTTTTTAATTATTACAATTCTTTCACTTGTTCTCTCAAAAGGCAACGCCGATGAAAAATATCAAAAAATTTTTCTGTAAATTCCCTAAACTACTTTTTAAGTCGAAATTAGCTTTTTATAAGTTAAAACCTTTTTTATAATGGATCGTGAGTAATAGTACCGGCAATATTATCCACCTTTAATCAAATATTTAATATTTTTTAATTTATCATATGGTATCCATTCTATTATATTATCCAGTGAAATTGTTTCCGTTTGACATTTTTGAATCAAGTTATCAATTTTTTCATCTCAAGATGTCCATTTTGAAAAATGGGTTTTTAAATAATTTCGGACACAATGCTCATAGTATAATTTAACTAAACATTCTTCTTGACTATTTTCACACTTTTATTTTTGTTCCTTCATCATCAAGATTTTTAAATCCATCAAAATTCTTACTTATTATATTTATCGCTTCTAACTTTTCATCATGTGAAAGTGAAGTGATTCGTCATTAAGAATGGTTTGTTTTACAGATTCATATTGTTCTTCCTCATTTTTATCATAATCACTAACTACGGTAATTCATTTCTAATAGAAGACATATTATATGTATATATTATTTTTTAGGAGCGTGATAACTTCCCACTCAGATATGTTAACATGCTATTTACAACAGCCGATCGTATTACATACGGGAATGGATATCAGGACTACAAAATAATACATGTGTGAAAAAACTATGCAAATCTACACCATTCGCGATGATATATGATTTAGAGGAATTTTCAATAGTATAAAATAATGTATTTTTAAAAAATGACGTAGATTTTTTAATAGTAAAAAATAATGTAGTAAATTTTATTATATTTTTTTACTTACATTAATAGTCGAACTGAATACCTTGCCTCACTATTAATTACATTTTATTTACTTTTTTTTTACTTACACTAAGAATCGAACCGGTTACCTCAAGATAAACTATTAAATCTCATTATCCGACCACTATTTGTTCTTTTTTTTAATTATTAGTATTATATTTCTTATTTATCTTAGAATAAAAATGTATTTATATAAATTTTTTAAAAATACCAATTTGCATTAATGAAACGTTTTTCATATAATATCTGCAAATTTTTTTTAGCGTATATACCTATTTGCATTTTCGCGTGGGTTATGCAAAATCATGTATTTATGCAAATTTCTAGAGCGTAGATTGCCAAAACTACCTACTTATGTAGAATTTATGAAACTTTCTAAGATACGAAATCAATGAAATATTTTTTAAATTGTTTTTATGTGTAGATTACTTAAATCATATATTCAAGAAGTTATTTCAAGATATAAAACTTTGAAACTACCTATTCATAAAAATATTATGGCACTTTTTAAGGACCCAGAAATATATATATAGGGGTGAGGTGATGAAAAAAATTTTTTACTATGAGCTGTACGCATTTTTTCAGGGCCGAATTATGATAATGTCAGTCAGATACTATAATAGGAAATATAATTCTGACCAGCATTATCAGAAATTATCTAAAAAAGGAAAGATTTTCATGATTTTTTTAGCAAACTCAAACCTGACCCTTTTATATATATTTCTGGGTCCTACTTTTTAAGATACGCCTTATTAAATAACTATGTTTTAAGTGTAAATTATACAAAATTATATATTTATAGATTTTTACGGAGTATAAATTTCCAGAGATTATACATATTTGACAACTTTACGCTCCTGATGAGTACTCTCTACCACGACCAATAAAGAATAGCAATAGAACCTAGATGACAAAACATCTACATGATTGTAAAATGATCCGCTATGTAAAACATTCGACGATGAAAATAAAATAAATAATAAATCCGTATGGTTCTTATAATTCCTGAAATCAAAATGTGGGTTGACATACACCTGCGGCGCGAAGTTCGTGTGGAAGTATTAGCGACACTGCGCGTCTGTTTATCTACAATTCTATAATTATTTGCATAATTTTTAAAATCACTCTTGGTGATTCCATTTTCAATTTGCCAGTCTTTCCATTCTTTAGTACGTGCTTTCCAAATGTTAGACTTGATGGTATTACTACAAGTAACTATAAATTCAGATGATGGTTTAAAATAATTTACTATTTTTCTAATAGAAAGAATATTGATTATTTTTTGAAAAAGTTCCTTAAATACCATTATTAAAATTTTTGCAACTAATTTGCATGGGAAAAGTATTGGTCGAGAAAGTTTATAACTTTTAATTGATCTGATAGAGATAAATAAGAAACAGTGCTTGCTTACACGAAGCTTAAACGAACAAAAGTTTAAGGTCACCTTTCTATTTCATGATTGCGCAAGGGATGTTTTGATACATTACGTTTAATTTTCCTTTCAAAATTTTACTGAATATGGTTAAGCAATTTTATACAATACGAATCCTTAAAAAGTAAAATAAGGCAAAATAAGGTGAAATTTTGTAAGAATTAATTTATATAACAAAATTTCGGGATAAAGAAACCACGAAATTTAATAGTCAGATCAGATTGTTCAAATTGTAATAATAAAAAAAAAAAAAAAATTTTTTTGCTATAAGAAAAAATAAAAAAAATTTTTTTTGTTATAAAAAAAAATAAAACCAACTCCGGGGTCTCGCGCTACAGAGATCAAACAAAGCGGCCAAACAATCAATATTTATTATGAAAAAAGCTGAATAGAAATTAGGAATTTCTATGAAAAAGAAAAGGAAATTAAGTAAGATATATATAAAAAATAATAACACTTTTTTTGTGCTAAATATAATGAGTATGGTAAATTACTGCCTTTTTTATAAGTGATTGTCCTTTTTTAAATAATTCCATAAAGTTCATTTCACAAAAGGTTTACTAAATTAAGTTTACTGCTAGAGAACATTCTGTGAAAGTCTTATCGTGTTACATCATATCTACACATGACTGAATTTCAATCCCGACTTTTATTCCCACAGAAAACTGAAAGAATTTATATAAAAAAAAAATTGAACTTGTTTGATGATCTTTTACTTAAATAAGTAAGTCGTCTTTCTACAACCTTCATTTTATTTAACCAATAAAAAAATTTGATCTGCGGATCAAAAATCAACCGATCAAAGTTCGTACATTCGTACAACAGATTTCGCTTTATTATACTTACTATATACAGTATCTACACATGACTGAATTTCAATTCCGACTTTTATTCCCACAAAAAACTGAAAGGAATTTATATAAAAAAAAAAACTTGTTTGATGATCTTTTACTTAATTAAATTTTTTTATACTGTACATAACTTATAAATCCATTGTTTTATAGCGGATAAACTAAAGAATTTAAATATATATTTTCATCCATTGAATGTATTGAGTTCGCAAAAAATAAAATAAAATAACGAATATAATATTTATTCATTCAATTAGTAGTACTTGTTTCAAACAATGTTTCACAAGATCACAAAATTGGGCCAATTCAGGGGTCAGTTTTCATAATTTTCACAATTTTCGTTAATAAAGAAACAAAGTACTAACAAAGTTTATAGAAAAAAAATATTTACTTTAATAAGCCAATCTTGGCATCTACTCAAAGCTTTTAGAATGATCATTATTATTTATCCAAATAAAAAAGTTTTTTTTTTCTTTTCTCTGATTTAAAAGATTGCACATAAGAATTACGCCAAGTTTAGTCCTGCTGATCATTGTGTCACTGATCATAATATACAAATCGAATGCACTGCGTATTTGCGCAAAATGATAATTTCTTTGATTGTTTGCCATTATGTTAACAAAAAAAAAAAAAAAAAATTTTTTAGTTCAATTAAGATTTCAACAGAATTATTGAATTCATTTCCGTTTTAACATCTGAAACTTGAACAATTAAAAAAAAGATCTTGATTAAGTGAAATAATTTAATTTGATGAAACTATTTTTTTTTGAAAATAATTTTCTTCGTATATATATATATATATATATTACAAAGCATATGGGACCCTTTAATAATTGTTGTAGTGTATTTCTTTTACACTATTAATTATATTAATAAGTAATGCAATTTATATACGCACGTCCTTGTATTTGTAGACAAATATCTTCGTATGAGTTAGATAACGAAAATTTATTTCTTATTCAAAATTGGAATGAACGATTTATGAGTTTTATTTAAAATGATGATATCTTAATAATTACATAAATTTATCTTAAATTATTAATCTTATGTTCTAAATGCATCATGCTTTACAAAACTTAATCTTTATTAAGAGGGAATTTTCATAAATCGTAATTTTGCAGAAAATTTGGATCTACAGAAGTATGAATTATATTAAATTTAGCAAATATCAATAAAATAATGCACAATAATTTCTCACCTGCTAATTTTATTTTCAAAATTAACGGAAAATAAATCCGTTAAAAAATTCGTTCATTGACAAATCATTTGTAATTTGTTGGGGAAGACTCGCGATGCGTCTCAATGTATCTCCATTATTAATTGGCATGTTAAGTCGATTATATCTTCTAGATATCTTACTTATAATTCTTTGCCTTCTATGTCTTTTTCGAGAAAGCATAATCGTTTATATATTATCGTATACGTGTATATATGTATAAATATGGTTTTTTTTTTTAATTTTTTCAATTTAAATTTTCTTCCTTTTTTTTGAGGGAGTTGGTAATTAACCCGTCGTATTTATATGAAAATTTAATTTGT